TTCATAGTCAATCATTTTACAGCTCATACATGTATTAAGTTTTGTGTCTCTAGATGGAAAGTATTTTACACTACCCTTTACTCACTCACTGTTACTCACACCTGATAAAAAGTTCCATTTCCCTTCATGCTGGTTTATGCATATAGAGGAATCTCAACTTTCTCAGTCTCATCTCTGTTCAGCTGCTGGAATTTGTGCCAAATATGTATTAACATAGAAATTTACATGTTTATTGACCAGGCACAGGTAATTTTGTGATAAAAAAAATGCACAGGTGTTTATTATCTACATACATATACAAATGAATTCCATGTCCCTTGCTATTAAGCAAATGCAGCATGTAAAGTCAGCAGAGATTGAGTCTTGCGGGACACCTAGAATTTAACTGACAGTAGATGATGAATGTGACCAAGTGAGACAACATCATGTCTGCCTGACAGATAAGGACTGAACCAGTTTAACACTGTGACAGTGAGGGCAACATATCTCTGCAGTCTATGTAGACATGTCCCTTATTTGCCGTCTTATTGAGGTGATAATTAGCAGTTCCTTAACCAAGGGTGTCATTCCCTCCAGTTTCAAACATGCAATTCTGCAACCCCTTTTAAGGAAACCTAGCCTTGACTCCAATGACAAAAACTACAGGCTCATCTCCAAGCTACCATTCATTTCCAGCATTTTAGAAAAAGAGGTCCTCCTCGTACTTGAACACATCAAACATCTTTGACAAATTCCAGTCTGGTTTTAGAGAACTTCATAGTACTGAATCTGCCCTGTTAAGGTACATAATGACATCCTTCTCTCCGTCATCTCTGATTCTAGTGCCATTTTAGTCCTGCTTGATCATAGCTTAGGACAGAGTCGAAGATGGAATTCTATTCAAAGTTGGTCTATAGGGCGCTGTGTTAAAATGGTTTACCTCCTACCTGAGAGAAATCATTTTTACTGCTATTAAATGTGGCATCCCTTAAGGCTCAGTTTTAGGCCCTCTCTTATTCTGGCTATACATGCTTCCCCTTGGCACTATCTTTCAGAAAAACAATGTTTTGTATCACTGTTATGCGGATGACACACAGTTTTACATACCAGATGCACACAAAATGTTGTTATTTATTTAAAGCCCTCCATAGTTTAGCTCCACAATACATTGTCAGGACTGGCCGCGTGCAGAGGCAGGTTAGGAACCAAACGCAAGACACAGACGAGAAGTAAGCTGTTCTTGTATTTATTAATGATATGCTAATTACATATTCTGCGCCTAGGTCACTTAGGTCATCCTCAAAACAACTCACTTACAACTAAAGGTGACCAGGCTTTTTCTGTTGCTGCCTCCAGGCTAAGGAATCGTCTTCCGTCCAACATTAAGTCATGCCCCACCACTGAGATCTTCAAATCTAATTTAAAGATCTACCTTTTTTTTCTGGCTTTTACCTGATTCTGACGGAATAGTTTTTATCAGGCCCAAATTGAATTATTTTAAATGTTCTCTTACAGCATTCAACCTGACATTGTTCTAACTTATTTCCTTTTAGTTTCTTTGATTTTGATATTAACCGAGTACTCCAAAGATGTCACCACTTTAATTTGCTTCAGTGCTTCAGCCCGTCTCTGACACTGACATGTTAATGTTTCAGGTCAAAACTAAAATTGATCTGAATATTTAAGAAATATAGATATTTTATGAACTTGTAACTTACTATTTGTTCCCATTCCCATTGTCATGACAAAAACTGTGTAGCTGTTCATAACAAAGCTCTTGTTTAAACCATAAACCTCTTGGGCCAGTCCCTCTATGTATGCTTTAAAAAAAACTGTACATTATGTTTTAATGTGTTTTAAAGGTTTAAGGTTTGGCCACTGCCGCTGTATAATGTGCCTCATACGTTTATTATCCACTCACTCTCTATATTAATGAGCCCACATTCCTGAGTGCCTTTTGTAGAACCCAGGTGCATGTAGGAGTGGAGGCAGTGTTAGCATCATCATGACTGTAAAAAGTGTAGAAAACATCATCAAAAGTTTAAATAGTGCAAAAATAAGTGAATTAATGAGCGTTTGGTGCCATGAAAAATCAGTTTGATCCAGTTTTAGTTAGAACGTCCCAGAAACCTCACTGCAGGAAAACACCTGATTGTATGAAATGTATTGTATAAGAGAAAGTTGGGTTTTGGAGCATTAAAGAGGTGGTATTATGCTCACTTTCTGGTTCAAAATTTTATTTAGGGGTTGTACCAGAACAGGTTTACGTGGTTTAATTTTCAAAAAACACCATATTGTTTGTCATACTGCACATTGCTGAAGCTCCTCTTTTCACCCTGTGTTAGAGGCTTCGTTCTAGTCTCTAAATGATCTTTATTGAGAGTTGTACATGCACAGTTCCTAGTTAAACACTACTAGCCAATCAGAAACAAAGAAGGGCGGGTCAGCGAGAAGCCAGTAAACAGCTTCGGTTCAGCTATACATGTTGCCGACCAGCTTGGCAACATGGGCTGGAGCGAGAGTTTCAGAGTGGTGAGTTATTAATCTGTAACAAAAGTATCTTTCATCTATAAAGTTTTAACTGAGCTCTGTCTCTACATCACGGAACAACTTTATGTCCACTGTCTGCCTGGAGGGTAGCTAGTGTTTGGAAGGGAGAGGAGAGGTGAATGCTGCAGCTCATTGTTTTTCCACCGCTGTTTTTGAGGGCATGTCGGAGTAGCTGCTTATGAGGCGCATTGGGCTTTCATCCCTGTGACTTCACAGCAGAGATTTCTGTGGGAGATGGGAACTCCCTTTGGGCTGGACTTTGGGCTTTTTCACTTTGTAAACCTGTTACATGCACAAAAAAGATATATAACTCAATAAAGGAGAGGGGAAAAGCCAAAAAGCATAATATCATCTCTTTAAGTGTATGTAATATAATTTCATTTTCTGAAGTTGTAAGGGTGTAAAAATGTAGTTGAAATGTAACTGTAATGTCCAAACAATTAAATGAATATTAAACAAGTGAGACAACATCATGTCTGCCTGACATATAAGGACTGAACCAGTTTAACACTGTGACACAGAGGGCAACATATCTCTGCAGCCTATGTAGACGCTTACTAATTTATTCGACTAATGGAAACACTTAATGTCTAAAGTGAAATTAATAATGTTTGGTCTTGTGTTTTGCTAATGCTGTTTTCATGCTGCCCTCTTGGCCAGATCTTTTATTAAAAAAAGGCTTTAATTAGTTAGGTTAGTTTGGTTAGAAGATTTTTACTTAAAAAAGTTAATTTTCAGTTACAGTCGGTTGTTTTAAGCAGCCAGCTGTCCCAGCAGTGAGGAGGAAACAGCATGATATGTTGAGGACAGCTACAGTTCACTGACTCTGTGTGTTTGCATATCTGCCCTGCCTCTCTGCTCCCAGCCGTTAAGAGGCCAGTGTTGATCAGTGGCTGTCCAGGCCTTTCAGAGCCACTGACACGCCGGCAGCACAATGATGATGTCACTGATTCTACTGCTGGCCACCCTGGGGCTCCTTGTTCAGGGTGAGACTCTCTTCTGAAAACTTTGCTTCAGGATGCAACCAGCTTCACCACAATGATGTTCTGCTGTGATGGAGAAACACTGAAACAAGCAGCATTTACCTTCTTCCATCTGTTCTCCATCTTAAAGAAATGAGACTCTTCTGTTTGGATGCTGATCATCTTTCTCCAAGCTGGATTTGTCTCAATAACCCTTCTCCTCTTTTTCATCTTTTCCAGGTTCATCAGGACAAATCATCCTGACTCAGTCTCCTGGATCTCAGTCTGCTGTTCCAGGACAGGCTGTCTCTCTCAAATGTAAAGCCAGTTCAAGTGTTAGTAGCTACCTCAGCTGGTACCTTCAGAAACCTGGAGAAGCTCCTAAACTCCTGATTTATTTAGCTACAACCCGTCAGTCTGGAGTTCCAAATCGTTTTAGTGGCAGCAGATCTGGGACTGACTTCACTCTGACCATCAGTGGAGTTCAGGCTGAAGATTCAGGAGTTTACTACTGTCAGCAGGGTCTCAGCTTCCCGTTCACACAGTGATACAACGTCGTACAAAAACCTCCCTCAGCTGGAGAGGAACTGATCTGTCTCAACAGCTGCACTGAAACTAAAACAACATGTTTATAAAAAAATTTCAAATCAATTCATTTTGAACATTGTAACAAAACATTTAGTATTTAATCCAAACATATACTTTTAATATTCTCATTTAAATTACATCAATAACTGTGATAAATTTAATCTATGAACTAAAAAAAAAACTTTGTACATTTTTACATTTTACTTTTTCCATATCTTACATTTTATATACAAACTTGATCAAACACAATGCTGATATAAAATACATTTAATCTCAACATCTAAATTTGTTCATGTTTTCAAATTAAAAACAATGTCTGACGTATTTCAGTTATTCTGTGTGTTTTGTTTTCCAAAACAAAAATGCATTTAATGATTGATATCTAAAAGGGTTTATGGAGAAAGTAAATCAGTAACATTTGAATTCTTTCCTTTTCTCATCTTTTATTTTTCTTTGTGGTTCTTCAGCAGAATCAGTGTGTAAATAGCTCCTGGTTAGAATAGCAGATTACACTAATGTTGTGCTTTATAGTTTATTTTGTAAAATATTTTATTCATATAATAATGTTCTTGGATTCACCTACGCAATAAAAGTTATTAACCTTAAGTCAGATTTTCAAATGTACCTACCATGGGTTTGTTCCAAATGTTTATTACTGCAGAGTAATCTGTAATGACGACAGTATTCATCAACGCATTCATAATGAATGAAAAATGATGGACTTCTTCTACCATCACTGTTTTGTAGTAACCAAAACATAATGAGGAGTTTTGTCTGAGTTTGTAAACTCTGAATATTCTGTAACTTTAGAAATATATTATGACGTTAAACTGTTGTTCTCTGGATGTAACACAGTCACTGACACCATCAAGAGAACATTTATTAAGACACTTTGATAATAATAAACATGAAAACAGCTGATTGGATGAAAAGGTCTTTATTATCTGGAAACACTGAAATAATATTGAAACAGTGCAACAAGCTAGTAAATCTTGCTGTTGAAAGATGTCAAATAAAAGAGAGAGACAGTTCCAGAGTGCAGAGTGAGAGCAGGAGCAGAGGAAAACCAGTAGCAGAGTCCCAGTGAGTCAGGTCAGGACTGGGAACACTGGTCTCTCCTCAGTGTCTCTGAGAGCGGAGTCTGGGAGCCCTGGGTGGCCTCACAGGTCACAGAGCCCACCTTCCTCCACTGGTCTGCAGAGAGCCTTAGGGTGCTGCTCCAGCTGTAGTGGCCGTCCTTCTGCAGCACCCCGGGGCTCCTGCTCTCCTCCCAGCTGCTGCTGCTGCTGCTGCCGTCCACCTTCCAGGCCAGACTCCAGTCTGAGGGGAAGCCCTTGTTGGCCAGGCACATGAGCGTGGCCTTCCCCTGCTGCAGCTCCTCGCTGGAGGGGGGCAGCACCGTCAGGGTGGGACGGACATCACCTAGGAGAAGAACCAATCGGCTTAGAGGACGGGGACCACACAGCTGGTTTCTGCTCCACCAGTCACTCACTCACACATTGTTTCACTTCCTTTAAGAAACCTCTCATGCATATCAGCACAGAAAGAGTCCTCATATGAGCTGAAAGATATCAAACTGCACTGGAAATAAAACAACCAGGTTTTAAATTTGGAAATAAAAAAATCATATTTACTGTCAAAACTCTCAAAAGGGCAAAAGTTAATGAGATCCACTGTTAAAGGACATTATCAGCCCAAAATACCTGACGACCACAGGTAACCTGTTCCTCAGACAGATTTCAAAACAGCATCAGAGAACTGTCAACATTATTTCAAACTGAGGTTAAAAGACAATTTGAGCCATTTTAGAAGATCAGAGATTTGGACACATTTTTATCTTCATTCACACTATTCAAAATAATTTTAACTCAACTTCTAAACAGTTTAAAATGCAGAATTAAAGGCTGAATCATTTTTAAAGTACGAGTGTTGTTCTTTAATCTTTGCTGCAGTTCAAGCTGTTCACATTTCACAAATTAAATGGAACGTTTAAAGAGAAGTTCAGTAAAGCTGCTTTGAGTTCAGCTTCATGGTTAAACAGGAGAAACGAACAATAAGATTGAGTCTTTAAAGTGATTTAGATCAGTCCAGAGGAAATTTATATCTACTACAAATGTTCAGACACAGAAATTAAAACCTTCGCTGATGATACGATATTTAATATTTGTGCAGAAACTTACTTCCAACATCCAGTCTGGTTCCTCCACCGAACGTGTACCACAGTGATACAAACTGATTGAGTCGTCGTACAAAAACCTCTCACTGTAGAGAGACACGGCTCTCTGACTTTGAACACAACAAACTCAACAAAAACACTTCTTGTTTTTAAAAGAATGAACTATTTCATGTTATATATATCAAACAGTGACACAGTTGTTCAGAATGAATCCCATTTTTACGTATATATTGTTCCATTGGTGTGAAAGTCAAATTGATCCCTCTAGAATGAAATGAAAGCAGACAGAAGATGTTGTAAAAGAAAATCTTTCTGCAGTCATCAAAGCAAATGTCCATAAAAATGATCACTGACACATTCCTAATCAATCCTCTGGTAAACGTATTGATCCATTGAGAAGCAGCATCATCAGAGTAATCCAAGTCCCTGTTGGAGTCAGTCAGAGCATTTCCATAGAGAGCCACTTTGCATCAGCAGCACCATGCTCCAGTGCTCTGGGAGACTTTATAGTCCTGAGAGTTGAACACTGGATGACTGACAGCTGTCCTTCATGACAACAGAAGCCACAGAAATCCTCCTCATCAAAAACATGACTTTGGTCTCCGTCCTCATCTGGACTCTCCTCTGCTGCTGCTTCACAGGTAAAGTCCAGAGAATCAAACTCCTCTCCTCTATGAACATCCGTCCCTCTGAAATGAAGCCCACAAAACCATGACGCTGCTTTATGTGTTTGTCTCTGTATCCTCAGAGTCCAGAGGCCAGATCACAGTGACTCAGCCTGGAGCAGTGAGCTCTGCTCTGGGAGCCTCCGTCTCCATCAGCTGTAGGGTCAGTCAGCAGGTGGAAGTGGGATCATCAAGTGGTAAAGATCTGTTACATTGGTACCAACAGAGAGGAGAAGAAGCTCCTAAACTGCTCATTTATAGGGTTAATGAGCGAGAATCAGGGATTCCAGATCGTTTTACAGGCAGTGGATCAAAGACTGACTTCACTCTGACCATCAGTGGAGTTCAGGCTGAAGATGCAGCAGTTTACTACTGTCAGAGTGAACACAATATCAACAGTCAGTGGTTGTTCACACAGTGAAAAAGTGTCGTACAAAAACCTCCCTCAGTCAGACTGAACAGAAACTGAACTGACTGCTGCAGCTGGAAGCTACTGCAGAGACTGATACAGTTCACTGAGGACACACACACACACACACACACACACGATATTCACAATTTACTACTTAAAAGAGGGATCTGATCTTAAAGGGGACCCGAACTCAGACCCAACCCGAATAGACTCTAACAGAGGGATAACACCTGAACGGAAGCAACTTTATAAGCTCTCAGTTAAAAGGAAGAGGTGATCAAAACATGAAGCAATAATTTTGCCTAATAATAAAAATAAATTAATTAATATATGTAGTCTGAGAAACTAATGACAAATCTGTTTTTATTTCCCTCAACAACAGATAAAAGATCATTTTTGAAGTAGTTTAATGTCTGTGACTCAAATTAATTCTCCACACACTGAGCTCTTCCTTAAAGAAACTATGATTGAATGAAAACATTTTAATTACCAAATATTCGTATCCAAACGTGTTTAGCTGGATCCCCTGTTCTCCTGCTAACATCACCCTGACCTCCACTTGACACAGTATACAAAGCTGAGACAACAGAGAAAGCTCAAGTTCAACTTTGTCACGTGTAATAATATACAAGGCAATGTTTGTGCTCTGGCTATAGAGTAAAATACACATTAAATAATACACAATAAAAGTATGAAGTTCATATGGGTGCGTCAGCTGTTCAGCAACCTGACTGCCTGTAGAAAGAAAGTGTTACTGAGTCAGGTGGTGTGTGATCAGATTCTCAAACGTTCTTTGAAGTGAAGGAGTGAAAATGGAGCATGAGCAGGTGGCTGATGTCCTACATTATCTTTGGGCTCTATTTTTGAGGCGAATGGCCTAAATGTTGTGAAGTTGTGGCAGTTGTGTGCCAATAACTTTTTCCAGCTGTCTTTATTTACTGTCATTTGTAGTGATGCAGCATGTGGGAACTCTCTCTGTGGTACAATGATAGAAGTTCACAAGAGTCTTGGTACTACAAACTCCTGAGACACCTCAGAAAGTACAGCCTCTGCTGAGCCTTCTGAAGATGAAGTTGTGTCAGAGATACCAAGAAATCTAAAACAATCAACCATTTTCAACAATGATTTCCTTTGCCTTATTGACATTTAGATATGGGCTGTTATGATGGCACCATATTGATAAATCTTCCATTTCCCGCCTGTAGACCGATTGTGGTGTTATCTGCTAATTTTGTGATGCTGTTATATTTGGCAACCTGGTTGTAAGTAACCACACTGTACAATAGGGGACTGAGACAGCAGCCCTGAGAACTAATGTACACAAGTGTGTTGTGCCTTCTGTCACAGGCTCAAGTAGTTAATTACAGATAGAGTTGCCCAGACCAAGACCTCTGAGTTCTAACACCAGATTGGATGATACAACTGTGAACAAAAGCAGAGCTATAATGAATAAATAACATTCAGGCAAAGGTATTTTTCTTTTCAAGGTTTACTAAAGCAGTATGCAGAGCGAGTGAGATAGCGTTAAATCTGTTGGCACAGTAGGAAAACTGTTATGCATCAAGATGAGATGAAATCAACATCATGAAGATCAAAGAAAATGACAAATTCACAGGAGTCCAAAAAAAAAAAAAGATACATAAATTCAACTCCTGAACTTCATACAGACAGATATTTCAGACACTGATCCACAAACATCTGGCAGTTTTTCTGATATTGAACAAACCACAGGAAAATAACAATTCATCATTTGATGTAAAGATCTTTGAGGATGGATGAGGCAGTTTTGAAGCATGACTTAAGCAATCTTCAGAAGAAGTATCAAAAACAATGCTGAATGTTTTAGAGGTGGAATGTTCCATATGAAGTGAGGTTTCGACATTACATTGGACAGTATACGGTGCCTTGAGGTCATTGAACTGTTTGACATTCAGTACAGAGATTTCAAGTTGTTCTAAACCTGATAACTTTTGTCTTTCATAAACTGCGGGGAATCTGTAACATTCAAAAAAGTTCAGTTTATCAACCACCAGAAATCCTTTGATCATCTGCGTAGTGGCACTCTTTTTTGCTATCCAAAAAAAACTGAAGAATTTAAATTACACGAACATTAACAACAATCACTATTCAGCACAACGTTCAACAAAAACAAATAATATTTTTCAGCTTAAGGCTCTTAAAAACTGCATGGCTATAAAAAAAAAAACATTAGTCTCACTACTATTAAGTAACACCAGCATAAGAAGTCAGCAGAGGACCCAGAATGGAGCCTTGGGGGACGCCAAAATTTGACAGGAGACAACATCATGTCTGAACCAGTTTAACACTGTGACACAGAGGGCAACATATCTCTGCAGTTGATGTAGACGTTTACTGTGATTTATTTGACTAATGGCAGCATTTATTGCCTAAAGTGATGCAATTGACAGTTTCTTAATTTTAATGTAAAATACTAGACATCAAATAATCATGTTTGGTCCAGTGTCTTGTTTACAGGTTCACTTACCTGGCTGTGTCGTATGTGACAGTTGTCTATGCTTATATATGTTGCCTGTATTGTAGTTATTGACTTAGTGCTGTTTCCATGCTGCTCGCTTGGATCTCTCTTATAAAACAGATTTTTATCACAAAAGGACTAGCAATGTTACATAATTCAAAATGGAAAAACATTTCATTACTTAAAAAAGTTGATTTTCTTTTACCATAGAGCCTCCTGACTTTGTGTTAATCTGGATGAGGATGTTTTAAACAGGCAGCTGAGGCCAGTGTTGATCAGTGGCTGTCCAGGCCTTTCAGAGCCACTGACACGCCGGCAGCACAATGATGATGTCACTGATTCTTCTGCTGGCCACCCTGGGGCTCCTTGTTCAGGGTGAGACTCTCTTCTGAAAACTTTGCTTCAGGATGCAACCAGGTTCACCACAATGTTGTTCTGCTGTGATGGAGAAACACTGAAACAAGCAGCATTTACCTTCTTCCATCTGTTCTCCATCTTAAAGAAATGAGACTCTTCTGTTTGGATGCTGATCATCTTTCTCCAAGCTGGATTTGTCTCAATAACCCTTCTCCTCTTTTTCATCTTTTCCAGGTTCATCAGGACAAACCATCCTGACTCAGTCTCCTGGATCTCAGTCTGCTGTTCCAGGACAGGCTGTCTCTCTCAAATGTAAAACCAGTACAAGTGTTAGTAGCTGGCTCAGCTGGTACCTTCAGAAACCTGGAGAAGCTCCTAAACTCCTGATTTATTCAGCTACAACTCGTCAGTCTGGAGTTCCAGATCGTTTTAGTGGAAGTGGATCTGGGACTGACTTCACTCTGACCATCAGTGGAGTTCAGGCTGAAGATTCAGGAGTTTACTACTGTCAGCAGGGTGACAACTTCCCGTTCACACAGTGATACAACGTCGTACAACAACCTCCCTCAGCTGGAGAGGAACTGATCTGACTCAACAGCTGCACTGAAACTAAAACAACAGGAGGTTTATCAAGAAGAAGAAGAATATACTTTGAACATTTCAACACTTGAATATATCAAATATAACACAAGCATTTACACTTCTGCTTTAATTAAACAAAGACTTTCAACTATTCTTCTGAACTATGATTTCATAATAAATCTTTGATAAGCGATCACACATAAACACTCAAGTTATAAATATTTATTTATTTTATGTGTTATCAGTTTTTCAAAGAAACACAAACACATATTATTGAAATGATTTATAAAATTTGTAAAATCTCATCTAGTACATGTTGTAAAAATACTAATCATGTATATTACATATATTTGTAACTTAACTTGTGTTTTGAATTCCAGAAAAACAATTTATTTTATAATCGATCCATTAAGGTTTGATGGTGTAAGTACAGTGGGTACGGAAAGTATTCAGACCCCTTTAAATGTTTCACTCTTTGTTTCATTGCAGCCATTTTCCAAAAATCTAAAAAGTTCATTTTATTTCTCAGTAATGTACACTCAGCACCCCATCTTGACAGAAAAATTTTTTGCAAATTTATTAAAAAAGAAAAACTGAAATATCACATGGTCATAAGTATTCAGACCCTTTGCTCAGTATTTAGTAGAAGCACCCTTTTGATCTAATACAGCCATGAGTCGTTTTGGGAAAGATGCAACAAGTTTTTCACATCTGGATTTGGGTATCCTCTGCCATTCCTCCTTGCAGATCCTCTCCAGTTCTGTCAGGTTGGAATGGTAAACGTTGGTGGACAGCCATTTTCAGGTCTCTCCAGAGATGCTCAATTTGGTTTAAGTCAGGGCTCTGGCTGGGCCATTCAAGAACAGCCACGGAGTTGTTGTGAAGCCACTCCTTCGTTATTTTAGCGGTGTGCTTAGGGTCATTGTCTTGTTGGAAGGTAAACCTTCGGCCCAGTCTGAGGTCCAGAGCACTCTGGAAAAGGTTTTCATCCAGGATATCCCTGTACTTGGCCGCATTCATCTTTCCCTCGATTGCAACCAGTCGTCCTGTCCCTGCAGCTGAAAAACACCCCCACAGCATGATGCTGCCACCACCATGCTTCACTGTTGAGACTGTATTGGACAGGTGATGAGCAGTGCCTGGTTTTCTCCACACATACCGCTTAGAATTAAGGCCAAAAAGTTCTATCTTGGTCTCATCAGACCAGAGGATCTTATTTATCACCATCTTGGAGTCCTTCATGTGTTTTTTAGCAAACTCCATGCGGGCTTTCATGTGTCTTGCACTGAGGAGAGGCTTCCGTCGGGCCACTCTGCCATAAAGCCCCGACTGGTGGATTGCTGCAGTGATGGTTGACTTACTACAACTTTCTCCCATCTCCCGACTGCATCTCCGGAGCTCAGCCACAGTGACCTTTGGGTTCTTCTTTACCTCTCTCACCAAGGCTCTTCTCCCCCGATAGCTCAGTTTGGCCGGACGGCCAGCTCTAGGAAGGGTTCTGGTCATCCCAAACGTCTTCCATTTGAGGATTATGGAGGCCACTGTGCTCTTAGGAACCTTAAGTGCAGCAGAAATTTTTTTGTAACCTTGGCCAGATCTGTGCCTTGCCACAATTCTGTCTCTGAGCTCTTCAGCCAGTTCCTTTGACCTCATGATTCTCATTTGCTCTGACATGCACTGTGAGCTGTAAGGTCTTATATAGACAGGTGTGTGGCTTTCCTAATCAAGTCCAATCAGTATAATCAAACACAGCTGGACTCAAATGAAGGTGTAGAACCATCTCAAGGATGATCAGAAGAAATAGACAGCACCTGAGTTAAATATGAGTGTCACGGCAAAGGGTCTGAATACTTATGACCATGTGATATTTCAGTTTTTCTTTTTTAATAAATTTGCAAAAATTTCTACATTTCTGTTTTTTTCTGTCAAGATGGGGTGCTGAGTGTACATTACTGAGAAATAAAATGAACTTTTTTGATTTTTGGAAAATGGCTGCAATGAAACAAAGAGTGAAAAATTTAAAGGGGTCTGAATACTTTCCGTACCCACTGTATATCAGATTTTTTTCCCTTTGATTTTTTTTTTGTCTTTATGGTGCAGAAGCAGTCTGTAAATTGTTCCTAGTTAGAATAGCAGAGTGCAATCATTTTATTTATTTCTATGCTGATGATATGGTGCGTTTTATTTCTGATTTGTAAAATATTTTATAGATTTTTGTAGTTTTATTCAAATATTAGTCTTTACCATTAAGTCACTTCGGTAGTAAAATGTATTTGAATGATTGGTCATTAAATGTTCCTACCATGGTTTTATTTATTATTACAAATAAATCTGTAGTAACTAAAGCAGAAAAGGTTTTACAGTCCTGAAGGCATTAATATTGACTGTGACAAAATACGGTCTTATGCTGCTACAATGAAGGGTTTGTGCTAATGAAACACAGCTGACAAGTTTTATCTGCATTTAAATGCTTTCTCAGCATTCAGTCAATGTGGTGATACATTATGTGATGTGACTCATTCTTTCTAAAGTCACTGTAGAGAAATTACCACATTTGTGTCAGCTCAGTGCTTCTCTGGATGTAATACAGTCACTGACACCATCAAGAGAACATTTATTAAGACACTTTGATAATAATAAACATGAAAACAGCTGATTGGATGAAAAGGTCTTTATTATCTGGAAACACTGAAATAATATTGAAACAGTGCAACAAGCTAGTAAATCTTGCTGTTGAAAGATGTCAAATAAAAGAGAGAGACAGTTCCAGAGTGCAGAGTGAGAGCAGGAGCAGAGGAAAACCAGTAGCAGAGTCCCAGTGAGTCAGGTCAGGACTGGGAACACTGGTCTCTCCTCAGTGTCTCTGAGAGCAGAGTCTGGGAGCCCTGGGTGGCCTCACAGGTCACAGAGCCCACCTTCCTCCACTGGTCTGCAGAGAGCCTCAGGGTGCTGCTCCAGCTGTAGTGGCCGTCCTTCTGCAGCACCCCGGGGCTCCTGCTCTCCTCCCAGCTGCTGCTGCTGCTGCTGCTGCCGTCCACCTTCCAGGCCAGACTCCAGTCTGAGGGGAAGCCCTTGTTGGCCAGGCACATGAGCGTGGCCTTCCCCTGCTGCAGCTCCTCGCTGGAGGGGGGCAGCACCGTCAGGGTGGGACGGGCATCACCTAGGAGAAGAACCAATCGGCTTAGAGGACGGGGACCACACAGCTGGTTTCTGCTCCACCAGTCACTCACTCACACATTGTTTCACTTCCTTTAAGAAACCTCTCATGCATATCAGCACAGAAAGAGTCCTCATATGAGCTGAAAGATATCAAACTGCACTGGAAATAAAACAACCAGGTTTTAAATTTAGAAATAAAAAAAACATATTTACTGTCAAAACTCTCAAAAGGGTAAAAGTTACTGAGATCCACTGTTAAAGGACATTATCAGCCAAAATACCTGACGACCACAGGTAACCTGTTCCTCAGACAGATTTAAAAACAGCATCAGAGAACTGTCAGCATTATTTCAAACTGAGGTTAAAAGACAATTTGAGCCATTTTAGAAGATCAGAGATTTGGACACATTTTTATCTTCATTCACACTATTCAAAATAATTTTAACTCAACTTCTAAACAGTTTAAAATGCAGAATTAAAGGCTGAATCATTTTTAAAGTACGAGTGTTGTTCTTTAATCTTTGCTGCAGTTCAAGCTGTTCACATTTCACAAATTAAATGGAACGTTTAAAGAGAAGTTCAGTAAAGCTGCTTTGAGTTCAGCTTCATGGTTAAACAGGAGAAACGAACAATAAGATTGAGTCTTTAAAGTGATTTAGATCAGTCCAGAGGAAATTTATATCTACTACAAATGTTCAGACACAGAAATTAAAACCTTCGCTGATGATACGATATTTAATATTTGTGCAGAAACTTACTTCCAATATCCAGTCTGGTTCCTCCACCAAAAGTCAACCACAGTGATACAAACTGATTGAGTCGTCGTACAAAAACCTCTCACTGTAGAGAGACATGGCTCTCTGACTTTGAACACAACAAACTCAACAAAAACACTTCCTGTTTTTAAAAGAATGAACTATTTCATGTTATATTTTATTATATATTTTTACGTATATATTGTTCCATTGGTGTGAAAGTCAAATTGATCCCTCTAGAATGAAATGAAAGCAGACAGAAGATGTTGTAAAAGAAAATCTTTCTGCAGTCATCAAAGCAAATGTCCATAAAAATGATCACTGACACATTCCTAATCAATCCTCTGGTAAACGTATTGATCCATTGAGAAGCAGCATCATCAGAGTAATCCAAGTCCCTGTTGGAGTCAGTCAGAGCATTTCCATAGAGAGCCACTTTGCATCAGCAGCACCATGCTCCAGTGCTCTGGGAGACTTTATAGTCCTGAGAGTTGAACACTGGATGACTGACAGCTGTCCTTCATGACAACAGAAGCCACAGAAATCCTCCTCATCAAAAACATGACTTTGGTCTCCGTCCTCATCTGGACTCTCCTCTGCTTCACTCAGGGTGAGGAAAATCATTTTTCTGTGATGTGAAAATCATTTGGAGTGTAGCTGAGTTTCACCTCACCATCTCATGTCCAGTGTTTCTTCTCTCTCCTCAGGGTCTGTTGGACAAAATGTTGTCTTGACTCAGCCAGCAGCCAAATCAGTGCAGCTGGGTCAGACTGTTTCTATTGACTGTAAGTCCAGTCCAGCAGCTGGTCACCACACTGGTTCACAATACTACCTGGCCTGGTACCATCAGAAAACTGGAGAAGCTCCTAAACTTCTGATCTACCAAACATCAGACAAATTTTCTGGAATCTCCTCCAGATTCAGTGGAAGTGGAGCAGGGAATGGAGTTGACTTCACTCTGACCATCAGTGGAGTTCAGGCTGAAGATGCAGCAGTTTACTACTGTCAGAGTTATCATTGGATCAACAGTCAGCATGTGTTCACACAGTGAAAAAGCGTTGTACAAAAACCTCCCTCAGTCAGACTGAACAGGAACTGAACTGACTGCTGCAGCTGGAAGCTACTGCAGAGACTGATACAGTTCACTGAGGACACACACACACACGACTTGTGGACCCACAAACCACAGCTGACTGAAAACAGCAAGCAGAGGATCAAACTTTTCTGATGGCTCTTAAATTTCCTTCAGTATATTAATTAACTG